TAGACCCCGACAAGGTCTACTTAATGGCTCCGATGGAACGAGGTAAGGCTAATGGCATTTCAGCCCAAGAGGCTTATCGCATTTTGTTTCGAGATAGATCAACGATGATGAAGCCAACGATGAAGATTCCATTGTTAGGAAATTGCATGGTAGGAGAGAGTGAGAAAGAGAAGGAGTTGATGAATGGAGATCAGAATGGTCAGATGGAGAGAGTAAATATGGTTGAGGGATTTGACGAGAAGGCAGAGATTTTATGCAGACAGTATTCGAGCAAGGGCTGGAAGCCAAGCTTGGTTACTATACAGGAGAAGAATTTTGAGAAGAAGGTGCCTCATTGGCTCTTTTGAGAAGAGAGTATCTAGGCTATTTTGAGAAAGAGAAGGTATTTAGGTTTTAGCAGTGCAGGGTCATGAGATGTTTATGCTGTGTGTTTGTAATCTGTAGGCTGTTTAAAAGAACATGTGATGTACTGGATGATGTATGTTAGGCTGATGAGGGCCTAAGATGTTTCTTTGTTTTCTGTAATTGTGTCCAAGTTTCAAATTTACTAATGAGGTAACTGATGAAAATGCAGGAATAAAAATAGCTAAGATCTAAACAGTAAAAGACACCCAAGAACAAATCGTATCTGCACTTAATAAAAAATTTCGAAGTGATGAGCACGCAAGGCAACTCAATCGTGAAGAGTGCAGACAAAAGCTGCATTGCGTCTGCACGCTTCACATTAAGAAAGAAAATAAACTATCAGCTGTATTACAGATGAACTATAAACTCCATCCTGAGGATGGCGATTGAGCAATCGCATGCTGTGGAATCATTCTATAAACTCCATCGCCATCTTTTTCCTTTTGGAAAATTGGAGGATGTGTTAAAACTATCCTTAGGAGAATAGGAGGTATATGAGTGTCTTGTTTACATACAAAGGCTTCTCATGTAATGTCCGACTTGGATATATATCTCTAGAATAATAGGACCATGAGCACTGTTGTACGAAGTCCAAATATCTATCATGCATGATTTTAGCATGATATTGGTTATGCTTCACTGACTTTCATAATAATGTGGGAGGCATACTCAGCAATGGTTGAATCAGGGGAGCGCTTTAACTGAGCAAGAACAGGAAAGAATTGAGAGGAGCGGATGGAGTGTCTACAAAGAGCATGCTCAGACATCTTACGCAAAGCAAAGAGAACTATCTTGATAGGTGACTCCTTTACTGCATTTCCCCTGCTTGGACTCAGTGCTACCACGGAGTAGTCACTGATTAGCTTCAATAAAGCCTGAGAAACACAGATGATAGAGGAAAAGTTTAAAAATGTAGTACATAGTAAATCAACTGATTCCAGACACACTTTAAGTTCTTATGCTCTCCTTGGATGAAAAGAGTGCTGGTATTTTTCCACCCCTACTCATACGTATACATTTTAATACATATATTGCACTTTAATGTATGTATCAAACACACTTCTCTTTTCCTTCTCCTGACAACCAGCACACCCACCCATCTTAATCTCTAAGTTTAGTTATAGCCACAGATATGCATGCTGCTTGCTAGTTGCTACAGCAGAAACAATAGGTGTTTGGAGACAGCATATCCAACATTTGTACACTAATATTGCAGCTAATACAATATCTGACATAGTATACACTAATATGCCTGTGTGAGAGAAAGTATTTGCAATGCATATACCTCTAGGCCAAAAAAGTCAATAATTTCAGTTGAACTTAACCCATGCTCATCATTTCAATTTTATCTCTCAATACCCAGAATTTCCCTCTGTACACTGCACTATAACAAACTAGTATCTCCCAAGGCGTAACTGCATACAGTTCTCTACGGGCATATATTTAACAAAATCTCTGTTTTCTATTTTCGGACTGACATGCCTTACTGCTCTACCATTGTCCACTTATGAAACAATGTCAGAACTAAAACATAAGGGCTCAAAAGAATAGTAATAAAGTGTATTATTATTGCCATTAAACACTAATCCCCCAAGAAATGGAAAGAAAACTCATAATCATCCTCTAAAGAATAGCAACTGGAGTCTAGCGTAGTAAAGTTGGTCACGGAAAATCCCAGTTCAAGACTAAAATGTTGTTTCCTTCACAAAATACATAGTTAAAAGAAAATATATGTCTACAGAAAAGAGAAAAAGATCAGGACGCACCTGCATAGCACCGTGAGAAATGATGTCTTCACATAGGACATCGGAGTTGCGTACCAAATTACTGAGAGCACCAGCAGCATTGGCTTTAGTTTTATCTTCCTCTGCTGAATGTAGGCGCTCCGTAAGATAGGGAATGGACCTTCTGAGTTGTTCGTACAGAACATCATTATGATATGCAGCATTTCCAATCTGGACAGGAATTATGTGAGCCACACTCCCAGATAGTGATATAAAAAAAGTAAACATAGCTCAATATTGCTTAAAAATAATAATAATTTACAAATTAGTTTCTTGCTAAACTATTAACATGAAGGAAATTACCAATTTATAACTTTCATTTTTCCCTTTATAAACCATACACTTTTTTTTTGTACAACCTTGTCAGATGAATGTATACAATTGATTTACGGTCATAAGCTTGTTACAGTGAATCCAGATTTTCAGTATTGACGTTATTAAAGGCTTGAAGCAGTGATCAGCATTGATTTCTAGATACAACTGAGTTTGATTTGAATGACTAGAAGGCACACGTGCAACTTGTGCAGAGATGCGGTCAATAATGTTCCAGTTTGTTTCCGGTAGGAAGAATCTATTATTGCCTAAAAGGATTTTTGCATTGATATCCGTAACGAGTAGCAGAGTCCAAGTGAAGTATATGGAACCCATGGAAAGAAAGTCTACAAATTTGAATTCTTGTTGTTTTGTTGTTGACTAGAAAACATCGTGAAAATATGATTACATGCTAATTCATATTGCAAAAAGATGTCTAGAAAAACAACAAAACCAAGGATTTGTTACCAAAGAAATTGACAGGGTCTTACAGCAAAACATGCAAACTTCCTTGTGCGTTTGTCTGGGTCAGCACATCTATCAATGAGGAGATCAATGATCTTATACATTCCCTGGAAGGAGACATGAACATAGATAAATTTACCATGAACATGAAAGCAGATTACAAAAATCAGGTTTCTTAGACAGTGAGAAACTTACAAGTGAGGTATAAAAATAGGGGCTGTGCCGGCACATATTTCCAATGGCACTGCAAGCTTTAGAACGCAAATCAGAGTCATCACTGCTTAGGAAGTCCTTCAGATAGTTTAAAAGACCTGCCCTGTGAATGTCTTTATAAAAATCCTGCAATAGATATAACCGTGTTTAAGAAGGTTTGTGGTAAAAGACTAAACAGTGCAATAGCGCATATACACTACATATCAAACCATTTATCCTATTAGTGAAACAACTAAATGCATCTATGTCATTTTCTTTTCTTCTGGGAGTATAAATTTCTACAGTGCAAATACCTGGAGGGAAAAAGAGCAGTAAATTTGGAATAGAGATCAAAACCATAGACATGGAAATTGTAATATAGTTTAAAAATAGATAGCGAGCTCAAATTTGGACCTTGGACATTCGAGCAAGATCAGAAATTATCATCAGGAAGTCAAGCACAGCTTCTTTTGGTGTAGAACCACCAAACAGTCTTTCTACTCTGCTTTGATTTAGAAGACCTTCTCTAAGAAGCTGCAAAGCCAGGGGTCGGTAACCCACCATTTTCGCGACAAAGGCTGTGGGCCGAGCCATATTACTCACATCAATTTCATCCAAACATATAAGGATGCGACCAGAAATTCCAACCTGGAGAGCGAATTAAGTTAGAAAACTTCCATGAAGATAGCATTTGATGGAATGGTGAAGATTTTTTGCATCCTACCTCGAGATCTAGAATGACTTGAATATATTGATGCATATTTGCTTCAATTGCTTTAATCATTTCCCTATTTTCTGGACCCATTCTCCCACCTGGTGATCCAATGTTCAAGAGGAAGCCACTATTGATGGATGCAGATGCTGAAGGCATGTTAGGAGAGCTCTGTACGGCAATAAAAGGAAAAGCCCAAAGATCAATCACTGCATTGATTAAATCTGCAACTCCACTCCTTCCACCACCCAGCCCTCTCCAATTTCTCAATGCATCGAGGTGTACTTTAGATATCAATTCAGATATGAGCTTCATGTGTTCTTTTCGAAACAAAACCTCACGGAAAATACCACCTGAGAGGCAATTACACAAGGACCCAAGTGACCAAACGACTCCTAACGGTGATAAGCCAACTCGATGATTTGTCCCATCATTTCCTTCTGAAGTGTCCTTTTCAAGCCCGTCAGCCAACATATAAATAAGAAGCTGAGGAATGCCATTTGAACATGCTTGTTCAATGGCTAAAGGTCCTCCCCATTTCAGTCTTGCTTCCAGCAACCCAACACACCCATCTCTAAAGCCATGTGAGTTCAAAAGCATACCAGTCTGATTGGAAATTGATTGATGTTCCTCAGATAACCAAAGCTTGAGAAGGGAACGGAGTGTTGCCATAGGAGGAAACATAGCCAATACAGTTTCAGAGATTGAAGACTTGCCAGACTCTCCATTTTCAAGGGATACAATTGCTGACAAAGCCAACATTGCTGATGCACAGTGTGGTTGAATGGAGTTTTTCACCCCACCATCACAAGAAGAGAGGTGTGCAAGGACTGAAAGCCGAGTTCGCTGTTTTTCCTGAGAACTAGTAAGAATGTTTGTTGCATAAGACTGTCCATTGGTTTTTAGACAATAAGCAATAGTGGCCAAGGATAGGCAACAGTGTAGAACAAGGGCACGGGGGTTGGTCAATTTGCACTTCTGATTGCGTATTTCTCCTGAATCTTTTGTTAAATATGGGGCACATAATCGCAATAAGGAGAACATATCAGAAACAATAGTTCCATCTCCAGCTACCTCTACTTCATCAGTACCAGTTGAAGAATTTGGAAGGCCACATAGTATGTTGCAGACGTTAGAGTTCAATAAGCATACCCTTGAGATAAGCTGGAAAAAGAAAAAGATTCCAAAGGAGTTGAGAAAGGTAACCAAATACTGGGCCAAAGTTAGAAATATTTAAAGAGTTAGGTAAGATGCCAAAAGAAGCACACCTTCCACAGAAGGCATGGTATTGATGATGTAAAGATCCAAGAAAAAGTAGGGATAGTTGAGATGAAGTAGGCACCTGAAGAGCAGCATGAAGAGCAGATTCTAGCCCATTATGAAAGCAATAATAGATGGCAACCTGCATTTCTTTTGATCCAAGGAATGTGTTCCCAATCATACCAATAGTTTTAACTGCTTCTGTATCAGTTGGGGGACCTTGGTTATTTTCCCTGTCATCTGGTTGGTGCACAGAAGGCTGCCTCGAAAATTTTAAGGGAAACACTTGTGTTTTTCCTTTGACAGATATAATCTCCGTTGCTTCAATAAAGTACCAGATGACTTTACATGCTTCACATGCTGCTGGTACCATATTTGAAGACCCAGAAATTAGACTTGAGCCAGAATTTATTAGACACTCACACATGGTTGCAACGAGCCCAGATGTCCTTGCACTATCCACTATTTGGATGAAAACCTCTTCGGTCGATGAGGGGACAACAACCTTCTCAGGACCATCACCTATCAAAGAAGTCTTGAGCCCCAGAACAACTCGAGATAACATGACAGCAATGCACGCAGTTGATTCATAATAGATCCTTCCAGATGCATCTTTTGCTGAGATCAGAATCTGTAAATTTGAAGACTCAGACTTGCAGATATGGAAGTCAAGAAATATTGCTCAAACATCATTTGCAGACTTAGCAAGCACTTGCCTGTGAATACAGCTCTCTCAGGGCAAGCCAATGCTTTATACTAGAACTTCCAATTCCACTTCCAATATTATCCAGCAGTTTCCTTAAACTTGAAAGACTCTGCATAAATATATACAGAAGATAAATTATCCACTATAAAGCCATAGCATGAAACATATCTATACTGCACACGCGACAATCTATTATCAGAAACTCAATATGTATACTGTCATATTTGGTTGAAAACCAAGCATAAGTGGTCAGTTTAAACATGATTAATTCTGGGACAGATGTGATATAGAGTGCAATTTGGTTTTTATTGTGGCTATATGTAGTGTTTCTAAGAGAGCTTGGGCATGTCTTTGTGGGACTATTAGAGACTCATGTAGATGTTCTTTTGCGTAGTTTGAAAGAATTGCATCAGCTTCTTTGGGTTTGAGGGTGAGCATGATTTCATCCCGTTAGTGAAAATTTTTATTAAGGATCTTCACGCTATATCTTTGATCTAGTAATTTTCATCACAGAAATTAGCAAACATCTATTAGATCTCAAAAATGGTTATTCAACTATCAAGAGGCACTTATGACACACCTACAAAATCAGAGCACGGTACAACAAAGTTAGCAATCAGTAGGTGCTCAACTGGTTTTAGAAGTATATAAGAACCTCGGAGGAAGAGAAGGTCTAAAGGCTTGACTCTCGGAGAAGGTAATGTTATGCACCTATTTTTCTAAAAGAAAAAAAAACGAGAAGAAGTACCTTTATTGCCAAGCCATGGGCCTCAACTAGCTCCATTTTCACAATTACAGCCGTAAATTCAAGAAGAACGCATACAATGTCATCTAATGCTGCACAAGATTGATGGATCCCAGCTGCTATTAAATTTGTGAGAATTCTGAATGACTGGTTGACAGCACCAATATTCAAATCTCTGAAGAAACAATAAAATAGATCAGTTTAGGATGTCCTCATAAAGGTGCAATAAGTTTATTAACAAAAATATAAACTAGACCTCCATTTATTCATAAAGGGGGTCATTTTCTTCTGTGACAATCTGTTTACATGTTGAATGTGACTGGACTTTGCACACAACATTTGATCCAGTATAACAGGATTTTAGTGTGAGTCATGTGACCTTAGAAATGGTTATAAGGTTAATCGGTAACAACTGGAACATAGCTTAGGAAATAGAAAAGAAAACTATCATGAAATTAATCCAGTATAAGAGGATATTACTATTTGGCAAAATGGACATTTTTTGATAAGCTCCAGGCATATTGTTGTAGGTGGAGGCATGTTAAACCAAGCTTTACCTTAAAGATACAGGAGAACCTTTGGACCAGGATTTCAGGGGAAGCAGCATAGCTGAGAGTGCTTCATTATCTTGACCAATGAAGTTGGCACCTTTCATAGTGCGCGAGCTTTTCTCCAGCTTATCCAGAACTTGGCATTCTGAAATCAAATATCTTATTACAATATAACAAAATTGAGTCGAGCAATGTACCTTCCAGTGATGGTAACTCGCTAGAAAAATGCAGATGCATCTAATTGTCATGCAAGATATATGCATCTTATTACTTCTGCCAATTCGCTAGCAGTTTACCTGAAGTATGGATTGTTGCTTGCATATGTCATGGACTGCAGTGAGATGCCAATCACTACCAGAAGTAAGGATAGTTCCTTGCATATGTTATGGAATGCAATAAGATGCCAAACATTTTTACGTGGTTCGGCAATGGCCTATGTCCACGGGGAGAGTTTTGAGTTTACAATCTTTCTTGCGTTCTCGAAAGAATCTGCAAGAAATGCTCTCTCAATCTCACCAAAATATGAAACCCCAGATTCCTCTTCTTAGTTTCTCTACCTCTCTTTTACAATATACAACTTTCCTTGGCTTAGATCATCAAACCCTAGACCTGGACCTGTATTTATATGATTAAAACTGGATACAAAACCAATCAGGAATCCTAATCCGAACAAGATTCCAAAACACAAGCAAAACCCAAAAACATCCAAGCAGGCAGTCCAACCAGCTGATGTATCACTAGAGCTCCCTGGCCGGTCGGACCGGCCAATGCACCGTGCACCGCCGCTCTTTCATTTCTTTAATGCTGCGTTTCTGACTCTTCCAACATCAACCGAGACTGAAATACAAGGCTATTTCCCACAATAGGAAATCAATTAAACCTTAGCTTAAAGGCATGTGCCCATGCCTAAGAACTACTTCATACCGCAAAAGAAAGAAGGGGAAAAGAAATTCAAACACAAGTATGTATGTGTGTGTGCGTGCATGTGTGCCTGTGGATTGCTGTGTGTGCTGGTGCAGTTGGGGGTGAGGACGCGGATGCATGTGCATGTGAGAATGCATGTTTCTTCGAAAAATACTCATTCCCATGATTTGGTATGCATTTGGACAGAGCTGCTACATTAACTAGCACAAAATGAAGTTAAAAAAAAGCCATGTTCATGCCCGTTAAGTATCCTTCCTATTAAATTCATCACATATTAGGACAAGGTTCATTGGATGTCTGTCAAGATGAAAACAGTTAATTGGTTTGATTATATGAATATTTGGAGAGCAGCTCCTATATTGGCTACCACAAAGGATAAAAAAAAAGTTCAACAGTTTGCCACTTAGATATCCTGCAGGCAAGGTTATATACTACGTGATAGACAATCTCTATAGAAAATCTTCAATAACATGTCAAAGAAAAATAAAACATGGTTTAATTAAATGGGCAATGCTGATTTTTCAGCCATGTAGTAATTCCTTAATCAGTTTCAATAGAAACATCATCAATCTGCACTGCAGAAGCTTAAATGTCGAGTAACAGCCAAATACAAACAAGAAGTGCTGCCTGTGAGTAGAAAGATCAATGAACCATTTAACAAGATGTTACAACATTAATTGACCAAAATGGTGCCAAACTCCTGGAAAAGAAAATATGAAAAGATCAGAACTAGCCATGAATACTATTACACCAGATGGCAGGCAAAAAAAAAACCTTTTCGGATATGCAGTTTAAAGTTATGCGACAAGGAGCAACCTTCCCAAACTTTTTCAAAAACAGTCTAGCAAAAGGAAAATATGATGAATCTGCTAGAGGAAATTATGTTCAACTCCAAGGTGAATAAGAAATCACAGTAAGAATCAAACAAAAGATTATATTCAAATAATAGAAACCAGATTTGATCAATAGTGCTATTTTTTTGGGTGCATCCATGTATTGTTAAATTGCTAATGCATGTTATCAATAACATCTTGAAGATATGAAACCTACAAGTGAGTTTACTTTTGGTGCACCCTTGTCTTGCTAAATTGCTAGAGCATATTGAAGATATTACACAGTAGCTGAAACATAGAACCTCTTGGGATTGTAGAAATCATGCATAGATCACAAGGAATAGAATATCACAAATGGGAAAAACAAAATATATGCAAACTATATTTCAATAATGATCAGCAGGATGATACCTGGTGGAGGAACACCTGTAGAAACTGGATGGGCTAAATCCTCTTGTTGATTCTCTAGAGTTCGAGAATGGACCTCTGCCTGAGCATCTGCTGAGACGCTTTGAGTTTTAGCACTCTCCAAATGGGTGGACAAGCTCTTACCTGTAAAGAAGTTCATTGCAAGTCAAGAAGCTATACAGATAAATTAATGAACAGAAGTCAGAAACCAGACATTCAGGTTTGGAAGCTTGGGTTTCCATTGTAAGATCAGGATTTTGGTATTCTTCTCCTTTCCAGGCAGCACCACATCCCCTAGCTGCAGCAGCTACGGCACGTAGTTCCTGGAATGTGTTTGTAAAACAATATCTTCAAAATGCTTTAATGTAATTCTAAACTAACTGTATTCAATGTGCTTGGCTATATGAGAAACTAATCTAGTACATGAAAACTTACCCTGGCTTCAAGCTCATCTGAACTTTCTTTAACAAATGGGTGTTCGAGCAGTGTTGGCCAAGTCAATCTATGTTGTGGTACCTGTTACGCCAAAAGTAACAGTTAATATAAATGTCAAGTAGAAGTTCCATTCTAATCCTTACTAAAAGCGAAACAACCTTGTTGAGGAGACCCTTCAAGAAACTTTTGAAATTTGAACTCATATTGTCAGGATATTTTACTGGATCCTGTGAAATTGCAGAAGAGATGAATTTAAAGTATGCAATATCATTATATCATTCAAAACTCCTGACAAGAGACAAAATTCACCTTGACAATATGCCGAATGAGTGCATAAACTGAATTTGTATAGAAGGGTGGCTGACCAACAAAAAGCTCATACCTGATAATCCCAACAGATAACTGTTATATCAGTGCTGAATTTGATATTAGATCGGTGATATATGATTATCAACTGACTACAAGACAAATATTGATAATAAAAACTAAACAAGTAGTTAAATTTAAGCACCCAATTGACTATTAGAAAAAAAGAAGACGAACCTTGAATCCGGAAGTTTTACCCAATCACAATGACTAACGCAGCTCATGGTGTTAATTTGCTAAGTCCCTTTTACCTTCTTCATAATTCATTCCATGAATTGCTTAAGCACCAGCTTAGTAAATGTGTATAGAATATTAAATTATTATAATAACTGTCATCAGCAAATAGTGCTAGATTGGAAAAACAGTTCTTTTTAGACACATTCCCAGCAATCTGAAGCAGAAATATTCAGGCCATTGGAGCTCTGATGAATCAGGATAGCAGTAAAAAGAATTGGTGAGGCATGTGTTATCTATTTAAACATTACAGTTAAAATAAGCACCCCTCGTCCCTATAAAATTTTAACATCTGTATCTTTTATTAAAAATATAGTTTGCAGTGCCCTCCTTTTTTCCTTGCCCAGAAACTGGCAATCGTTCTCCAAAATTAATCAAGGCTTAAGCTAGTTCTTGCCAAGAGATCAGCTTGATGATTGCCTACTTTAATGGAAGGAGGATAGATCAGATAGTGCTGGTCTCCTAGGGTTTCTGCAGTGCAGTTACAAAGTTACACAATCAATCAGTTCAAAGAAGCACAAAAGTTAACGGACATCCAAGCTTGGCTAAAAATGAATATGAAATGCACTTTCAAGCTTTTCGGAGAATGCTACTGGAAGATGGATAACCAACAGAAAGAACAATCTAGAATTTAAAAATAGACTTATGATTTAAAATTAAAAAAATGGAGTATGCCCATAAATACAAGGACCAAACAAGGAAAGAGGGTTAAAAGAGTTAGTGTAGACTGTTAGTGTACTAGTTAGCGGATTGTTTATAAAGTTTCAAGTGAATTACCTGATTTTCTCTTTCTAGTGATTAGAGGGAACTAAAGCACTGAACTAAAGCACTGTAGACAAAGTAAATAAGGTAACGATAACACGACATAATGCCAGTGTATGGGTTAGAGGAACCAAAGAGACAGTGTTGAGTATATGATGTAATCAGATATTGTTAGTCAACTGGTTAGCAGCAGATCAGGTTCTGCAGAGCTTGAGTGCATTGAGTTTTAAGATATTCAAGGCAATTTTGGATGCGGGGTTGACTGCCCTCTTTGAGAAGAAATCTATTCCTAATAAATATTGGGGTCTTATTGCAGGAAAATTGAAACAATCCTAACTGGTAGAAGAAACTTAGATGAGGGAAAGTTGCCAGTGTGTTAGTACATTGAGGTCCCCTTTCCTCCTACCTCACCCTTTCCCTCCACTCTCTCTCTCTCTCTCCCACACCTGCGTCCTGCCAGGCCAGATGAAACTAGATAAAATCATAGTATATCATCAGAATTCCCCGGGAAAACATAGACAGCTAAAAAGCAAGAAAAAACATTAGGACAATAACATGGAGCAGAATGTGATGTAAATAAAGAAAAAGAAAACAGGAGAGAGTAAAATCCTATTATAGATGGTTAAAAGCATTTATTATTAGTAATATGACCAATAAAAACGATATTGATCTATTGAAACTGCATTTTGAGGTTTAAAAGAATACTACTGACATACAAAATAACTCCCAGCGACCACAAGTCCGCTGTGTGATTGTATGGTTGTTCGCGGACCAATTCAGGAGCCATATATAGAGGTGTACCTAGAAATGCAAAAGCATAACTTTCAGCAATAAAAAGATCAAAGATAGACTAGCATATTTCCAGCTGAAGGATTTGAATGGAGGAAGTCTAATATTAAAACAATATGCCTAGTAGCATAGTTCAAGAAAGTGTATTAGAGGAAAACAGCAACAGCTTCCAGAGTAATTCATGGTTGAAAGGACAGCTCAAACTTGAAGTAGATGGTATTTCAGTATGAACCATTTGAGTATATTTCCATGATTCTTAAAATTTTTAAATGGGCTACACAAGACTATGAAACTACTTTAAGTATTGATATAATGTTGAATATCTAACCATGTTGATGAAATGCAAAAATAAGTTTATAGATGTGGCTTGAAATTAATGAATCACAAATATAGACTTAAACAATTTGAAAAATGGGTGAAATTTTCTTGCCACATCAGCAAAAAGAACTATGGACCAATGTTGAAAATAACACCCTACCTCCTCTTAAGGGTTAAAGAGAAATCAAAATCTCCCATCTTTTCTTTGCTGATGACCTGCTACTATTTTGCAAAGCTGATATCTACTCAATTGCAAAACTGAAAGAATGCCTATCTGAATTCAGTCAAGTTTCTGGGTTGGAGACTAATCCAAATAAATGTTCCATATACATGAGTGGAATTGGGGAGGACTTGAAGACCCATATCTGCTCTCTCTTGAATTTTGCTGAAGGCATGCTACCTGTCAGATACCTGGGAGTCCCTTTAATCTCAAAGAGATTATCATGCCTAGACTGTTCCCCCCTGATAGACAAAATTTCTGCTCAGTTTCAGAGCTGGCAAAAAAAGAAAATATTGTCCTATGCAGGAAGATTACAGCTTATCAAATCAGTCATCCTAGGCATACAAAATTTCTGGACTAATAACTATGTTCTGCCAACAAAGGTATTGAAGAAAATTGACAGTCTCTGTGCAGATTTCCTATGGAATCATAAAATCCATTTGATGTCCTGGAAGACAATTTGTCAAAGCAAGGATCATGGAGGGCTTGGGGTTTTCTCTGCAAAAATATGGAATACTGCAGCTGCAATCAAGCTTATTTGGATGATACATCTTAAGAAAGATTTGTTATGGATTAAATGGGTGCATGGAAATTATCTCAGACAGTTCAATATTTGGCAAGTTCAAAGTAAAGTAAATGACTCTTGGATGTGGAAACAAATAATTAGAGTGAGAGATAAAGTGATTTGCAAGCTGGGAGATGTTTCAAATGTCCAGAATGTCATCAATAAGTGTTGCTCTGGAGGTAATTTTCAGATATCTGCTTTTTACCATGAGCTCATCAATCAAAATGTTAATACACAAATGGTCTGGTCTGAAACAGTCTGGGATGAATGGTCATATCCTAAACATTCCTTCATCTCTTGGCTTGCTATCCATTCTAGACTGTTAACAAAGGATAGATTATGTCACATGAGGATTCTTGACATCAATCAACATCATAGGGACTGTGTTTTGTGCACGTTTCAGCAACAAGAAACCTGCAGGCATCTCTTCTTCGACTGTGCATACTCAGCTGAACTCTGGAATAATGTTATGGTATGGCTGAAATACAAATGTAAGTCTTGCAATTGGGATTCTATTATAGACTGGTATAGCTCTAATATGAAAGGAAAGGGGTTTATGAAGAGAATTAAAAGAATGGCTTTAACTATATCAATCTATGCTATATGGAAGGAAAGAAACCAAAGAATATTTCAGCAGAGAACACAAGATCCAGCAACAATTTTTCGAAGAGTGAAGACACTGATACTATCTAGAATTTTGAATGATGATATTTCTCCCCATATAAAAGAGAGAATAGTGCAATTGTAATTGCTTTTCTTTGACACTTTTGCTGCTTTTTGATTGCCAGGAAAATCTTGGTATTTTGATGTTCTACACAATTTACACATTTGGAAAATGAACAAAATTTATTTCATTGACCAAAAAAAAGGGTTAAAGAGAAAAAAAAAGCAAAAATTTGTGATACAAAGTGTAGGTTATTTTGTTTATTAATTATTTACATTACAAACATAAACTACTCATAACGAATCTAATAATTAGAATCATCAAAATTTTCAAAATTAACATCACAGTAAAGAACAAAATATTTTTTACTGTTTAATTTAAAAAAAATATAAAAGATGTTCATAATAATTTTAAAAATTAAGAAGAAAATATCATGATACAAAAATATTTACTAAAAATTCCTTAATTTAATACAAGCTATATAGATTTTGAAGGTGTTTGTGGGAGCTTATTTCTTGGTCAAACTAGCTTTTAAGCTAGCTTTTTCATTTCTATATGTTTGGTAAAGTATCAAATAAATTAGCTTATAAATCACATTTTGAAAAGCTGATATACCCTATCTTTTGAAAAACTAACTTATAAGCTCACCTAAATAAGCTCCATTTGACCAAACAAATTACTATACTATCAAAATAATTTTTAAGCATTTCTATCATAGAAGACAAAAACCACTAAAAGCTAGCATAACTTATAAGCTTCAAAAAATAAGTTTTTCCAAACACCCTCTTTAGTAGAAAGTATATCAATTGAAAATAGAAATATATAATCATTAATTTATAGCTCGTTCATAATTACATTCATTTTATTAGTCATATTCATAACTTCACAATCACATAATGATGTCACCAAAACAATATATGAAGGATTAACAAATAATTCAAAGTAATTACTTAACTACTTCAAGTTTTAAGAAAGGATATACTATCAAATCTCTAGAACTTATATTGAAATAACATAAGTTATAATGACATAATAATGCATGTCATATTGATATAATGTAAGTTATATTGAAATGATGCATATTATATCGTAATAACGTAGAGTTATAATGTGTCTGAGTTATTTCATAAGATTACGTAACATTTAAGGCCTGTTAGATTATAACATGCAACATAACGAGTTACGTAATGGGTTTTTTCTATGGATTATGCTTTAAACAACTAAAACTGTGACCCCTAAAATTTCCACTAATACTATGTGGATACTATTGGGTTAAATATCCATGTTACCCCTATCAATCCATAGTTTAAAAATAAAATAAGTTTATTTAACCAATTAATTTTTCATCCTTGTAAGACACCTTGGCATACCAACAGATACCATCCACTTTGTAGTAGCTCTTGAAGGTCATATGGCTTGTAATAACATGTTCCAATTAGCCACAGAAAAACACTACTGGACGTTGCCATGGCTATGAAAGGCCGAACGAGGTCAAAATCAACGCGTGTCTTAGAGCCATCTTTTATTGAGTGCTTATCAGACAAACGTATTCATAAAAATAAAAATAAAAAACAAAAGAGAATTTTAAACAAGCATAAAGCATGTGAGTATTGTAGAATAACAATTGCACGACTTTCAAAATTTGACTATATACATGTTAAATGCATATCAACATTATGTAAACGTTTACCTTTTATAGAACGCAGAACTACAGTGTTTGCTGACATTGCACGTGCAAATCCAAAATCACAAAGCTGGAACATGAAACATCTATAATTAATCAGAGTAACAAGATTTGAACATGAAAGATTAATCAGCGATCAAGCATAATATTTCACATTCTGAAAATTTTTTGGGACTAACATACGTAAGAGCCTATGTAACACGTATTCAATGCTATTAGCTCACAAGGGTTTGAACTTCTTGAGCAAAATTAGAAAACTTTCATGACAACAAACATATCATTTGCATCATTGCATACGTATCTATCCACAAAAAAATTTTGAGCATGAGGTTTTGTGTAGCAAAATTAGGACATGATCTATCATGTGGGGAAAAACAATCATCTTTATCTGCTCTATAGAATTAGAACTACCTGATTGTGAGACAAAAATAACAAAAAAACAAAATATTTATCATTTTCAAGGTGTACATAATTCATGACATTAAATAGCATAGATGAAACTACAAAAGAACAAAAGCCTAAAATGTCTTGAAATTTAATTAGCATTTGGTAAGGGACATAAAGTCTGCCAAGTTGCAATAAGCAACCTGTGGTCTATCCTTAAGCTTAGAGGAATAATTGAACAGGCTACTAAAAAGATGCTAGTATGATCTGTCTAATAAAGTAGCCATTTTCTGAGGAAGAAGTAGTTGATTAACTTGATTTACATCTTACAGGTGAGCACAATTGAAGTACCTATGGTGCGAGGAAAAAGGAATGGGTCCAAGATCAAATAAAACGAAAATATCAGGAATATTAGTTGTCTTCAAGTATGTTGCCCTCAACAGGAAGAACATAAGAAATTAAAAAAACAAAAACTCCAACTCCCCACAGCCAAGGAAATGCAGAACACTGGGTGCAGTTTATATGAGCATGTTGGTTAGAATCTGCACATTTATCTCCCAAGACTGCAACCATTCCTCAATATTATGTAGTAAGCACCCATGTGGAAGAACAAAACTATTAATACTCCATGCTTAAATTTCAATTTAAGCTTCAAAAAAATTCCGACAACATCCAAATTCACTACTAACCTTAACAACAGATCCTGGACCAATAAGAATGTTTTGGGGTTTCATATCCCGATGGATAATGCGGTTTGAGTGCAAGTAATGTAGTGCCCGTACCTGAAAGAAAGGATCACCAAACAAGCTTAGACAAAAAAGGTCACCAAACAAGCTTAGACGAAAAAGGTATCAAACAAATATAAAGCCACATCTAGCCATGTAAATGCATAAGTTAGATGGTTGGAAAAGTACAAGCTGTTTAGCTATTGCTTGAACTTGCTCTTCCGGGAGACATTTATCATCCTCAAGAACCTCAAATAACTCACCCTGAAGAAATAACAACCCATAGTTAGATGCTTCTGTTTGCTTTTAGATATTATAGGCATTAACGAGATTCTCATTGTCCTATTTCCACATACCTGAGCAAATTCTGTAACAACACAAAACTCCTGAGGACTCTCAAAGGCATCTAGCATTTCAATTATATTTTCATGTTTCAACTTTCTGAGAATCTGCACAAAAATGTTACCTTCATTTGTCTCATTCACTTACAGTAGTGAACTTTAAGATTTTTTCAAAAATAAACACATTACGATCTAATACCTCAATCTCCTGCCGTAAATTATGGATATCCTTCTCGCTTTTCCCGTGCTTAAGAATAAATTTCAACGCTACAGTCTGCAACAATAAATAAACACAAAAATTAAATTCAACTATCAGTATCTCTCATTAAGCAATAGATGAGACATAAAAAGCCTAATTTTTTGAAAAAGTAAATCTCAAGATCAAACCTTTCCAGTGTATTTTCGTCGTCCTTTATACACCTTTCCGAAAGAACCCTCGCCTACTAGCTCAATCACATGATAGTTCTCAATCCCCATAGATTCCAAGCTAAATCGAGCAGATCGAGATAAAGCGAAGCTTATCTAGCAACTGAAAGACAAATTTTTATGGGAAAAATGGGGTAAGGAACAAGAAATCTGAAGTTTTAACCCTACAAACTGAACCGGATCTTTGAAACCCTAAATCGAGAAACTTTCTGAACCTAAAAAATTTTGAATGAGAGAGAATCGCGGAGTACCTAGATGGAGATTTGAAGCGCTTGCTTCTCTGCCACTTTCGCTCTCGCTGTCGCCCTCTTTCGGTCTTTCAGTCTTCAGCCGGTCTAAATTATTTTCCCGCTCATTTGCGCTCCCTTCAATTAGGTTTTTTTTAGGGAACCACACTTTTGTATTACAATTATGTATGTATTACAAAAGGAGGTAAGTGAAAAATGTTCAAAACTATTAGAGCATCTCCAACAGCTTCCCTATTTCTCAAATTTAGAGAATTTAGTAAGGTTTTTGGCCCAACAGATTCCCCATCTCATTCCCCAAAATAGGGATGAATGAGAAAAAATGGGGAAGCTTCCCCAAATCTGCAGCATTCTCCAAATTTTTGGAGGAAAAAATAGATTCTTCAAAATGGGAAAGCTGTTGGAGTTGGTGTAAAAATTAGTTGGAGAATATGACTTTTGCTTCCCCATTTTGAAGAAAATTTTGGAGAAGCTGTTGGAGATGCTCTTAAGACCATCTCCAATGGCAAATATTGCCTTTCTCTCTCCTTCCACCTCACTTGATTCTCTCTCCACATCACTTGCCTTTTCCAATTGTCTTTCAACTCCACAAGAACTAGTTTTTCAAAAGTTTTTCACTTTATCTTTCATCCACATCACTCAACCATATACCCCCACCATATTTATTCATCCTATTATTCTTATTTTTTATACATTTTAATCGTTATTATATTTACTAATATATTTATAATTATAAAATTTCATTTTTATTATGTAATAAATAATATGTATTTTTTAATAATTTATAATTTTCAAAAAACTTAATTTTTAATGCAATAAATAATATATTAATTTTATAAAAGAAAACAACACACACTATTATTAATGTAGTGGTAAACCAAACATACATAATTTATTGAAAACGTACAAGAAAAAACACACCAAACATACATAGTTTATTGAAACATGCAAGAAAAAACACACCAAACATTGAAAGTTTTTGACATTTCTATTCGAAGGTTGCTCCAAATTTTTGCCAAATGTGCTTGACGAGATCCTTTTTCAACTGAATGTGTTTGACCCTATCACGTAGATCGGCTCTAGTATGAATATCCGATTCGGCTCGGGCTTGAACGTGCACTTCAAATTGTGGCAACACTTGTGTTTTGGACATTGAAAGAGGAGCTAGAGCTAGCACTAGCATTGTTCGATGGTTCGAAGTCAATATTTTCCCAGTTTCGCGAATATGTATCTCGTTCATCCTCGACTATCATGTTATGTAAAATAATGCAAGCCCTCATTATTTTACCTAAGACCTCAATGTCCCACATTCTAGCGGGCTGACGAATAATAGCAAATCGTGCTTGGAGAACCCCAAATACGCGTTCCACATCCTTCCTACATGATTCTTGTTGTTTGGCAAACAACTGTGCTTTGTTGCCTGTAGGGTGTAAATTTGATTTCCCGAAAACAGGGAGTTTCGTTTGTATTGATAAGAAAGCTTATTACAAACTAATAATCAAATGATTACAACAGAAGCAGAGGGAATGCCCTCTTTGTTTTGTGTGGGGACTTTACGTGGCTATAGGACGCTTCGCTCGATGCTCGTGTCGAGTATGCTTCCCTTGGACCGTTTGACCGAGGTTGCTGGAGAGCTTCAGTTCGCAGTAGAAGCTCGAATCGATGGAGTTCGGGTCTATTTAGTTCGCCGGCGATCGGAGCTCGGAACTAAACAGTGATGCTGCCTTGGACCGTTCGATCGAGGTTGCTGGAGAGCTTCAGTACGCAGTAGAAGCTCCAGTCGATGGAGTTCAGGTCGGCTTAGTTCACCGGCGATCGGAGCTCAGAACTAGGCAGTGATGCTGTAATGCAAAGATGATGCGAACAGCTTGGTCTCAACTGCTTTTTTTCAAGTTTTTCGACCCCTCCCTTAAAGTTTGTTGGAAGAGGCTTTTAAATGGAAGAAGGACAGCTTGACTGCTCCTTGAATTATGGGATGTGACCATACATTGTTCGGAGATATCCTGCTGCCCATTCGTACCACCAACGGTCATTCGAAGAGTTGTGCTCTGCGTCACGTCACGTAGGAGTGGGAAAGCCCCTCCTCGTATGCGCGACAACGGCTGTCAGATGCTTGCGTGGATCTGACCAACTAGGAGTGGGAAAGCCCCTCCTCGTATGCGCGACAACGGCTGTCAGATGCTTGCGTGGATCTGACCAACCACTAAACGTCAGCGGCTCTTGCTCGTTGTTTGGACAACTGAGGTGAGTCGCATTTATGAGAGTGCAGGCTGCTTTGGCATCTGTCCGCTCACTTGTACTGTGGACGGCTGTTCGGCGGGCCTGGAGTGTCGGACTCGGGCAGGCGAGTTGCGTGAAAGGCGAATTTCCGCTATTCCAATTGATCTCAACTCGTGCAGGTGAGCCGATCATTCAGGCGAATCTGGAACCGAGCACATTTGACGACCATGCGGCTCAGGCCTGTGCTAGGGAATTGTGCAGGCGACTTCTTGCAGGCGAATTTCCCGTAGGCTCACAGAGGTATTTTTTTACCGTCTACAAGACCCCCTTCAAAGTTTTCAGACCTAAACCGGCTTGCGTGTGGTCTGGAATACTTTGAATGAAGAAGTTTTTTGGTGAAGTAAGCGCAATTGGTTTCTTTTAGGATTTTTAGCAAACCCTCAGCTATCAACGGGTTTGATGTGCCTTTACCGATCACCGTTTGAATCGGGCTAGTCATACTATTCCCCTCAGTATGATGAGTTGTTGAGCAGTTTCTCTTAGGCTTAATGCTAAGATTTCTGCTCTAACCCTTAGCCGTCTGAGGCGTGGGTTTTAACCGTTCGAGCGAGGTCATTCTACTGGCTTGGTTCATAATTTTACCTTTAAAGGCGAATGAGTCGTCGAGGCGAAATCAGGTTTTAGGGGTGAAATTCTGTTCGACTTGCGGATTTGGGTCGAATTTTCACAGGCGAGACCCTTCTTTTCGGGCGAAACTCGGTTCGATGTGGGTGAGCCACGCGTCCGCTGGTGGGCTTCTTGCTTTCCAGCTAAGACGGCGTGGTTCTGTCACGTCGTGTTCTGACGTAAGCTTCGTGCTCCCCGTTTGAATCGTGGCCGTGGTTTTCGAACCCAACCGTCAGATACAACCGTCGATTTTGGTTCAGGTTTGGGATTTTTCGACCGACCCGCTTCCCGCCTCGATGTGGCACTTCAAAATGTCAGGGGGCAATCTGGGCCGTTGATTTTGATCGTGGTCACGTTTCTCGTCCACCAGTATTTCGCTTTTTGAGGGTGATCGTGGCTACGTTGGCAACTCCTCCGTTAAATAGGCCGTTCCCTTTCTTTGAGAGTTACCGTGTTCAAGAATCTTGAAAGGTTTCCAAAGAGAGAGAGTTCCCGCTTAATCCCCTCAATGGCGCCGAAATCCAAGAAGTGTATCGCGAAAGGAGGAGGTCCCGGGCGCTATTCCGACCGCCTCGCCACCAGTGCACCCGTCCGCATACCTGAGACACACTTGGGTAAGTCCAGGGGTTCATCTTACGACTTCGCGTAGGTTATAGGTGTCGGGTCGGGCGGATGAGCCTCGTTTATCCCCCTTAGGTTCGATCATCTTTGGTAGCTTCCTTGATTTAGGGCAAAATCTACCCCTTTTTTGGGCGGATTTTATATTTGCTCATAGAGGACGATTTCTGCCTCTACAGGCGAAATTGACTTTCGTTGGGTGGAGGCGAATTCGTCCTTGATAGGCGAGTTCGACCTCTTTTCTAATAAAAGGGGAGCGTTGTTTTCGCTTTCCGACAAGCGAATTCGCCCATTTTTATTGGATTGGCGGGTTCATCCTCAGGGCGGATCCTATCCTGACTCTTGTGTCCTTTCTTGCAGCGACCTTTTCTGATGAAGCCCTTCCGAAGGGCGGGGCCATCGGCCTTGCCGGAGGTGCAAGGCGCATAGGACCTCTCCGGTTTCCTTCCTTGGGTCCGGTGCCCGTGTTCTCCGCTGATAAGCCGGTCGGCTCGACAAAGAGAGTCGCCGATGGGCACCACCTAACGCTGCGCGAGTTGACCACTGACGCGGCGCTGACAGACGAGGATAGGGTGGAGCTGCTGAAGCCTCAGATTTTGTTTAGCGATTCTGCCACTGATCCTTCCACCCTGTTGATCAAAGAGAGCAGGTGGCTCCGCGTAATGGACGGGGTCCACTACTATCTCCCCAACATGCCGAAGGGGTTCTCAATTATTGAGCTACGCTTTCTTGCGGTCCCAAGGATGATGAATTGGGATCTGACCCCAACTCAAGACGGGGTGACTTGTGGTGTCTTTACAGGCTCCACGGCAGGGTACGGGGTAGAAAGCTCCTGTAAACGGGTGACTGGCTTGCGTCCGGGTCTACCGTTCAATGAGGCGCCCACTGGAGAAACGACAGCAGTCGCGGAGACGGGAGATTTCCCCCTAAGGATTTCCAAGCTCCGGGGTGGGTCTAATCTGCGCCTGGCAGTAAGACCTGGTGGTCCAAGATCACCGATTACATCCTGGCCGAGAATTCCGACCTTGCGAATACAGAGTTGTATGCGGCCATTCAGGCCACTTGCCATGGTCTGAAGATCAACGCTCCCCGGTTCCATAGCGTCTTAGAGCTATATTGTGCCGACAGTGGCACGTTTTACACCCCCAATGGTGAGCTCGGTATAACTCTCCACGAGATGTACGAAGTGTCGGGACTGCCTCTGGGAGACTTCTGTATGAAGAGTACGTTCCCGACCAAGATGAGATCGACCAGCTCTCGGCCCACTCCCCACTGGTGGTTGGGACTCTGTGGGAATTGCTCTGCCACTACCACATATGCCTCAACACCTTAGGGGCGGTGGATCACAAGGGTTCATTGAAGAGGCCCTGGCTAGGCAGAAGGAAATCTTCAAGATCGAAATGGGGATGGCTATGCAGGAGACGAAACAAATGCACGACCAACAAATCCGCGCTTTGTCAAGTCAGCTAGCTGAATCCAATCGTCGCACCCAGAACGCCGCAGTTGGTAGCAATCCAAAGGTGGACGAAATCATCATGGCCGACGCACCGCCCAAGAATACTGGGGGTGGCCCCACTAAAAATAACAACACTGGGGGTGAACCCACCAATA